GCCATGTCGATCATGTGGTTGACAATGTCATCAAGCAGCTGATTGAGGTGCTCAAGAAGAAGAACAAGAATGGCATCAGTATAAAACCGTTTCAAGTGCGCAACCATTTGTGGATATTTGTGAATTGCCTGATCGAGAATCCCACGTTTGACTCGCAGACCAAAGAGAACATGACACTGCAGGCCAAAAGCTTTGGCTCCAAGTGTGTGCTCTCTGAGAAGTTCATTTCTAATGTATCGAAGGCTGGCATTGTAGAGTCTGTTCTGGCCTGGGCCAAGTTTAAAGCACAGAATGATATTGCCAAAACTGGCGGCAAGAAATCACATAAAATCAAAGGCATACCCAAGCTGGAGGATGCCAATGAGGCCGGCACCAAAAATTCCATAATGTGTACCCTTATTCTCACCGAGGGAGACTCGGCTAAATCCTTAGCTGTCTCCGGTCTGGGCGTCATCGGACGCAACTACTATGGGGTCTTTCCGCTGCGCGGTAAGCTGCTTAATGTGCGCGAGGCCACCTTCAAGCAGCTCACGGAGAATGCTGAGATCAATAATCTGTGCAAGATTATTGGACTGCAGTACAAGAAGAAATATCTGACCACAGATGATCTAAAGACGTTGCGATATGGCAAAGTTATGATCATGACTGATCAGGATCAGGATGGTTCCCATATTAAGGGTTTACTGATCAATTTCATACACACCAATTGGCCAGAACTTTTGCGTTTGCCCTTCCTCGAGGAGTTCATAACGCCCATTGTGAAGGCATCGAAAAAGAACGAAGAGATTTCCTTCTATTCGCTGCCCGAATTTGAGGAATGGAAAATGGATACGGCCAATCATCATACGTTCAATATCAAATACTATAAGGGTCTCGGTACTTCCACTTCCAAGGAGGCAAAAGAATATTTCCAGGTGGGCTTTACGGTTTATATTATCAATTGTATTAATATATTTTTGTTAGTTCGTCGTTAGTAACTCCCCTAAGAATAAGTCTTTCATGCAAAGAAACTGAATGAATATCTTTATACTGTGCACAAACCAAGGCGCCTTCAACTGCCACATTGGTAGTTACCATTAGGAACCTTTTATGATATTACAATTTATATTTCAAAACTTCTTGATCTAACTAGTCAATGAAAAGCTTCTTAACTATGATTTCAACTGTATAATATAGCTGTCATAGGAATAACTGCTCATTACGTGCCTGTCCCAAGAACTTACCAACCGATGATTAAATCTGTTATTTTTTTTTTTAAGAGTTGATACACATGTTTAAATTTTTATTTTATAAACTCTAAAAACGAAAAATTGATCTAATTTGAAATCTAATTTTTTCATTCAAAGGATATGGAGCGCCATCGGATCCTTTTCAAATACGATGGCCAGGTGGATGACGATAACATTGTAATGGCCTTTGCCAAGAAGCATGTGGAGTCGCGCAAAACCTGGCTAACCAATCACATGGACGAGGTGAAGCGTCGCAAGCAATTGGGTCTGCCGGAGCGTTATCTGTACACCAAGGGCACAAAGCATGTTAGCTACTCGGACTTTATCAATCTGGAGCTGGTGCTTTTCTCGAATGCGGACAACGAACGTTCCATACCCAGTCTGGTGGATGGCCTCAAGCCCGGTCAGCGTAAGGTCATGTTTACGTGCTTCAAGCGTAACGATAAGCGTGAGGTTAAAGTGGCCCAATTGTCGGGTTCGGTGGCTGAAATGTCAGCCTATCATCACGGCGAGGTGTCGCTGCAGATGACCATTGTGAATTTGGCACAGAATTTTGTGGGCTCAAACAATATCAATTTGCTGGAGCCTCGCGGTCAATTCGGTACACGTCTCACTGGTGGCAAGGATTGTGCGAGCGCTCGTTATATTTTCACATTGATGTCGCCGCTTACCCGTCTCATCTATCATCCGTTGGATGATCCCCTGCTGCAGTATCAGGTGGATGATGGTCAGCGCATTGAGCCATTATGGTATATTCCCATTATACCCATGGTCCTGGTGAATGGCGCCGAGGGCATCGGCACCGGTTGGTCCACCAAAATAGCCAATTATAATCCGCGCGAGCTTATTAACAATTTGCGGCGCATGATCAATGGTGAGGAGCCGTTGCCATTGCATCCATGGTACAAGAATTTTACCGGCTCCATGGACTACGTCTCTGATGGTCGTTACGTACATTCGGGCAACATTCAAATACTTCCCGATAATCGCATAGAGATCACTGAGTTGCCCGTTGGCGTCTGGACGCAAAACTACAAGGAGAACGTGCTGGAAGTTTTGTCCAATGGCACCGAGAAGGTGAAGGCAGTTGTATCCGAATATCGTGAATACCATACAGACTCCACAGTGCGTTTTGTCGTCAGTTTCGCGCCGGGTGAATTTGAGCGTCTGCGCAGGGAGCCTGGCGGTTTCCATCGTGTGTTTAAGCTGAGCTCATCATTATCCACAAACCAGATGCACGCCTTCGATGAGAACAATTGCCTGCGTCGATTTCCGTCGCCTAAGGATTTATTGATGGAGTTTTATAAACTGCGCTTGGAATACTATAATCGCCGCAAGGATTATCTTGTGGGTCAGCTGACGGCACAATCAGATCGTCTTAGCGATCAGGCCCGCTTCATTTTGGAGAAGTGCGAGAAAAAGTTGACGATTGAGAATAAACAGCGCAAGGCTATGATTGAGGAGCTTATCAAGCGTGGCTATCGTCCTGATCCTGTCAAGGAATGGCAACGACGGATCAAAATGGAGGAGGCCGAAGCAGCCGACGATGATGACGATGAGGAGGAGGAGAGTGCAGAGTCGGCTACGACTAGCAGCAAGAAGGTCAAAAAAGAAGTAGATCCCGAAAAGGCCTTCCAGAAGCTAACGGAGGTCAAGAAATTTGACTATCTGCTGGGCATGTCCATGTGGATGTTGACAGAGGAACGAAAGAACGAGCTGCTGAAGCAGCGTGATCTCAAATTGGCCGAGCTGGATAATCTAATGAAGAAGACGCCAACTCATCTGTGGATGGATGATCTCGATAATCTTGAAACCAAGCTGAACGAGGTCGAGGAGAAGGAGCGACTCGAGGAACAGGGCGTCAATCTTAAGCAGGCCAAGGCCATGAAGGGTCAAAAGCCAGCAACAGTCCGTGGCAAAAAGGGAAAAATCGCCGCTGGCAATGCAGACATCTTTCCCGATCCCATTGGCGAACGTGTGGCATTTAAGATCACTGATGATCTAATCAAGAAATTCCAAGCCGCCTCAATGGTCGCCGTCAAGGCTAAGGAGCGGATCACCAAGGCTAAAGTCGAAAAGAAGGAAACTGTCGAAGAGGTCGACGATTTCGATGTCTTGGTCGAGGGCGGCGCTACAAAAACCTCGCCCAAGGCTAAGAAAGCACCAGTCCTCAAAAAGGAGCCAGCCGAGAAGAAGCCGCGTCAAAAGAAGGAGAACGGCGATGGACTTAAGCAGGCCAAACTTGACTTTTCCAAGTCTAAGGTAAGTTTCATGACTGTAGCTATTTGCTGGTGTCCTTTATTAATTTCCCATACCCGATAATTAGGCCACAAAGAAGGATTCCCTTGATGAGAGTACCGGGGATGTCGAAATGGAAACGTTACGTGTGGAGCGGCCTGGTCGCCGTGCCGCTAGTAAGAAAATCGACTACTCTTTCCTATTATCGGATGATGAGGGTGGCAATGAAGCAGCCAGCGCACCAGGAAACAACGATGATGGCGATGAGGATATCGAGGATTCACCCATCAAACGGCCGGCGGCGGCAAAGCGTCAACGTGACGACGACAGCAGCGGCGGTGGTGCCAAGAAGAAGAAGGCACCCAAAAAGCGAATCGCCATCGAAAGCGACAGCAGCGATGCTGAAATTGAATGCTTAGACGATGACGATGATTCCGATTTCGAGGCATAAGCTGTATAGGCATAGAGAGTCAATATTTTCCAGCAGATGTTATGCTCATTGCTCCTGGATCTACTCCTGGTATATTATTACAAATATTTTACCAAAAAAGATACCGAATGCATAGAATACAAATTGTGTTTAAGGTCATAAACTTGGTTAAAATTAGTAAAGGAAAAAGTATTTCTAATATACGAATGCGAAACGTTCATATAAACATAGAAAATTAAGGAATTTTTAAAGCATTGCAGTTTGTCCACTTCATGTTTCAAAATTTCCTCACTCTTGATTATTCTATTTATATTGTGTAACAAATTCGCAACATTCTTTCAGTTTTTAGTTTTTAACAAGGAGAACGATAAACAACAAAAACAAAAAAAGAAAAATAAGCGATAATCCACCACTTCATAAAATACAAATCACTCTTTAATCTATCAATTATCATGTTTTGTAAACATAGTTTGTAGTCACATACAATACAATTTTTTTCATGTAAATAAAATGTATTTTACGCATTCTAACTGTTTTATTTGTGTTCTCAAATGTAAATGACGATGCAGGGGAACCAATTCTACGGCTCTTGAAACATATAGCTCGCAAATTAAAACATACTGAAAATAAATTTCTTTATGATTTCGAATATTTTCCTTTTAATTAATTACTAGCATATGAAGAAAATGAAATAGCGGGCTTCCAGAACTTAGAAACAACCACATAAAATAATTGGCAAAATAGAAATTCTTGATAAAATGCTTGAAGATAACTTAAAAACAAATTGGTATCACTGGATTTTTTAGTAAAAAAGAAAAGGGAAAATGAAGTATAGCTCCAAATATATACATAGTAATGTATGAATCTTTTATAAAGAGTTCATATCGATCAACTAAGAAATATTTGTATCATAAACGCTGTTTAATTTGACGAATTTGAAATTTATTTTGTTATTTTGAAAGTTCAAACAACATAGATTTTATGACACGTTAATTGTGTTGTGGAAAAAGTAAATCTCATTTTTTCTCCTTTGTTAAACATTGTGAGTATAATTACTTGATTAATTTCCTCACAGAAACCCAAACAAAGCGATCATTTAAATATTACTTTGGAATTTGTTATATAAACTTATTTATTAAAATAGTTATTATAGTTCTTGTAGCTTTTCGTGCTTGTCGGACCCGATAAATCCTTTATTAATGGTTTTTAATGGCACACTCTAAACATCGAGTTGATCGAGAAATATTTTAAATGTATTTTTAATATTATCATTGGCAAACGTTTCCCTTTTGATTGCCTCACGGAGAGCATAGCGACAGTTCTTGACATTGTAGTCGCTCTTGAAGTGCTCTTCGCTGCGCAACAGGCCCAGCTGCTTGAGATAGTAGTCCAGCACGCGCGACTCCTGCTCCGTTTTGATGGCATAGTCAAAGGTCGCCTGGTAGAGTGAAACGGCCAGCTCCAGAGCCGCCTGGGATGTCTGGGAAAGATGCGCACACTTGAGCGTCGTAAAGATGAGCAGCAGCAAGTGGTTGTCATCGCTAAATTGCTGTGGCATGAATATATAAATGGGATTTGTTAATATTTTATAGAGTAGCAAATAATAACCGGCTTGGCACGGCCAAAGAAAATTCAGTGCAGTTCAAATCATTTTTGCTCCCTTCCCTAATAATTTTTTACGTGAAAGATCGTACCAAAACTGAATTTCTATAGGGCAATTAGGACAATTAGTCTCAATATACTTCTATATAGCTTAATGACTCTCGAGTTTGTTTTCATCTTACATTAATTATGTTCTGCAGCGCCTGCAGCTTGTTTGTCGCTTCTAGGGAATCAAATTGCTGCAGCGTGCACGGCGTTTGGCTCAGACAAAACTCCGCCGGGGTGCAGCTGACGTTGATTACCGTCTTGTTGCCATTTTTATTAATGTCAGAAGTGTTGCTGGTCTTGTTAGAGTTGATGGTGTCGTTAAAAAGCTGCGGCGAATAACGAATTTAGCAAGAATATTAATCGGATCGGTTTGACCTGCCACTGGCTAGTAGCCACCTACCTTGGTGGAAAAGGCATTGCTGGTCACGTAGGCGGTCTCCTCGGCGAGATTTTCGTTGGCATAGTCCTCTTCATCATCTTCGTCCACCTCTTCGGTGGTGTCATTTGGATCGTATTCACCATCATCCTCTTGGTCCTCTTCCTCCAAGTAATCGTTATACTCGTCCTCGCTATTCTCGGGCGTCTCATTGTCATCGCCATCATTTTTGGAACCGCTATCCTCACCCTCCTCCTCAGATACGACCTCGTCCATAGACTGCAATGCGGCGGGATTCTTGCCTTTGGCCATTTCGGCAACGATTTGTGCGCTCCCAGCTTGGCCAAAGCAATTGCCATCCAAATTGAATATCCTTAGCTTGGGCTTATTTTGCACTGCTGTCACCAGCACAAGGCCGCCATCGTAGTTGATCTCATTAAAGCCCAAATCCAATACCTCCAGATGCTCATGGTTCTGCTCCAAAGCCTCGGCAAAATGATAGGCGCCATCAGTCTTCAGCAAACAGTCGCCAAAATTAATTTCCCGCAAACTGCAATAGAGGTTGGTATTAGAATTAATGGAACAAGAATAAACAGACAGAAGGATGGCTATTTGGACTCGTCTGTACAGATCAAGAGTATAATACATAATTAGTGGACTCTGCAAAGGTTGCACTTACAGCGGCGTATGCTCGAAAACTTCGGCTATTTTGGCGGCACCCCGGACGTTGAGCGTATTGTCATTCATGTTGAGGACGCGCAAGTGTGGATTCTTTTTGAAGCTGCTGGCGAGATCGGCGACGCCCACGTGATAAATGGAATTCTGCGGCATGGTAATCTCCTCAAGGGTTTGCAGTACTTTGAATGTCCTCGATATTGCCTTGGCGCCAGCATTTTCTAAGCGATTGCGGCCGGCGACAAAGATACGCAACTGCAGCGGTGTGCCCGCCGCCTTGGCATTCTTGTGTAGATCGATCAGTGCCACGGACAGCATACGTCCGCCCTCCGGTCCAAGCCCGCAGTTGTTCAGATACAGCTCCTGCAGCGAGTAGCAGACGGGTGAGCGCAAAAACTCCTCCAGGCCAGTCATGCCATTGGGCCCCAGCGCATTATCGCTGAGGTCGAGCACCGTCAACTTGGCGCCAGCTGCAATCAAACCAGCACCAAGATGCTTCAGTGCCAGAGGAATTTCCGACTTGAGACGTCGCGTAAATAGATTCTTCCACAATGCTTTTCGAAATTCTGGATGTGTTTTCAGTGCCTCGCTAATGGCCTGTGCTGCCTCCACGCCCAGCGTATTGCCATCAAGATTGAGAAAATGCACTGTAGGCTTGCTGTTGAGAGCCTCAACAACAGCTTTGACTGTAAGATGGGAGAAAATTTAGTGGGCTGCGTTCAATTGGCGGCGTCTACTCACCATCCGCGGCATTGTCCCAGGTTTCGGCTTTGTCTTGGAACGAAATGCCTTGCTCCTCGTTAAGCTCCGCTACCATACTTGCGAAACTGAAGGTAGACATGGTTGTGCTCGACATGTGTGCTTGTTAGATTTGATTTTTTTTATTTTTTATTTAATATATTTTCTGCTAACACTGTACTTTTTTAGTTTTTTTTTTTTTGCAAGCCGCTTGCGAAATTTCTTTGCTTCAACCTCGTAAAAGAGCGCTAGAAGTGACAGCGGCTGCGGCGTTTGTTTGCAGGCAGCTGCATCTTTTTTGACAGCTGCTGTCAGTGTAGTGTGGTCTCGCTCTAGCACAGACTGTGTGCAGATTTTGCAACACTGCGCGGCACCAGAGTTGTGCATTTTAGTTCGATAATTGTTTTTGTTCATTTATTTATATGATCTATGGACTTCAATTGATTATGAATATTTTACCGTTAAAGTTTTTCAAATTTTGTTTTTAAGGTTTTAATAGCCCACAAACTTTGCATGAAATACTTTTTGAAGTGCTGCTATGCTGTTACGTTCACGAAGAACTGAATGATTAAAGAAATGTACAAAATGAAGAATACAACTAATCAGAATAAAAATTATTCATGCCCAATACAATTGATTCAATTTTTTAGCTAAATAGTTGCCTGTAAACTTAACCTTCGATTTAAGGAACAGAAAATAAGTTCATTACAGCAGTTCAATTAACACACTTCTTTACAGCAGTTCAATTAACTGAACTTTATCTGGACGACACACGACAACTCTGAAAGCACAGCTGTTTTCGCGACGACGCTCAGTGCCCAGTGAATAATATTGAAATGCGAATTAAATAAATTAAACTGACATTTGAAAACTGACAAAATGTGTGCGGCACAAGCAAGTGGCTCCTGGATAAGCGCTGTTTTCGACGAAATAGCGCTGGAAGGCTTGGAAGGCACCACATTGCCATGTAAGTGAATTCGGAAAATGGAATAGAATTTTAAACAGTGTGCGCAAGCAGTCTGCGTACTTTTGGAAAATTACTGAAAAGTAAATAATAATAATCCCTACTCTAGATTTGTGGTGCCTGCTAAACATACGTATAAACGGTGGGAAACCTTTGCCGGACGCGCTGCAGCAGCAGATATGGTTGCTATTGCTGCGCTCTACGGACAAAGTGAAGTTCTATGAGCTGTTCGTAGCACGCCCTTGGCTGCCGCCATATAAGCGCTTCAATGATCAGGATGAGGAATCGGGTTTGCCAGTGGTCCCGGAAAGCTGCCCCTTTTTGCGTCCTCCCTATGCGCCCATACAGGATGGGTCCATTCGTGGGAACTGCATGGACTACAAGATGCGCAAAGCCGTTAATGTAAGTGTGCTGCAGGAACTAACAGCCGCAGCGGCAACCGAGCTATATGACCAGACGCTGGTTGTGGTGGCCAGCCAGGATGAGCGTACAAAGGCGCTAAAGCCACCTAATATGCTGCTGCCCCGTGAGATGTCCGTGCAACACTATATTTTCCTAGAGAGTGTAGGACGTGCACGCTACAATGGCGAAACTACGCGGGGTCCCTGGTCGATGACCAACTATTTTAAGGATCCGAGCTTAATATTTTACTTAAGGTGAGTAGTTCAGCTAGTAGTCCAGCAGCGGCTCACTCATCAGAATTGAATGCTGCACAGAAATTGGTTGCTGAAGCAGCATCTGATAATCGGCCAGCCATATACGGAACGCTGCAATGGGCGCAATCTGGCCTCGACGCTGGTCATGCTACCGCGCTTCTTTCGCATCTACAAGAATCATTTGCAGTGCCTCATGGAGAAGTTTTATACAGAGATCAAGGCCAGTCCAAACCAAAGTGTGCCCACTAGCGAAATATTGGAGCGAATACCGGATCTGAACAATTCAAGGCTGAAAAAGCTGCTTGTCTCGCACAATTTTCGCAAGATCTTTGAGACTGCAATGGTTTATCCGCCACAGCCCGCCAGCAGCGGCGCCAAGCAGACCAAAGGACGCAAGATTTCAGTGGTGCGTCTACGTAATCCGAACATGGAGTTCGATGAGCTCAGCCAAATGGACAACAACGATGAGCGCGACGACAAGGAGCCGGATGAGTTGCTAAGCCAGCGTCACGCCTATGTCAATATGCCCATTGAGCTGGAGTGTCTGCGCGCCATCAAGCGTTTCGGTGCACGCGGCATGACCACCCTCGAACTAGGCCAATATGTGGCCATTAATTTTCAAATCGCACGCAGTGCCATCAAGCATCTGCTACGTAAGCAAATGATCAAAAGCTATACGGAAACTGTGGGCAAGTCGCGCCTCACACGCTTTGTGGTTGTTGGCACACAGGCCGAGGCATATGTCATGGAAAAGAAAGAGCAGTTGGAAAAGTCGGTGTTACAGCTGCAGTGCCAGGAGGAGCTGGTGAGTCAAGCTTTAACCTAACACTATATGCACACAATAATAATCGCAAAGAATATATATGTAAACCATTTTGATCCCTTTTTGTTTCCAGAACGTGCCACAGAATGTAGACATTGTTGTAAATGATCTGCCCAATATTAAAGTTAATGTGCGTCCCATGGTATTCAACATGAAGCCGGCTAAAAGCGCAGAGAAGGAGACACCGCAGCATGTGGCACGCAAAATATTGATTGTACAGCAAATTGACAAGGCCTGCATCATACACACCATGGATTTGGCGAGGTCCATAATGCAATCAGAGAAGAATATTGGTTCGCTTGAGAAAATATGCCGCAAATCAATGTTTCGGCTGCTGGAACGAATGCAGCATGCGCACATTTTGAATTTGTACGAGGTAACCCTAGAGTATGAGCAGCGTGTGCGTCTCTATCGTCTGGTCACGCATCCCAAGATTGATATCCATCACGAACAGCTGCAGCGCGAAATTTTGCGTCTGAAGAACAATTTTCATTTGCTGACTGAGGAACGACAGTTGCGTCCCTCGCAACTGGCGGGCAAGGACCGACGCGAGTTGTTGGCACGCAAAAGGTTACGTATAGAGCGTCAGCAGGCGGAAAAGCCAAAACCATCGGCGCCCAAACTGCTGGTGGCGTGCACCCTGCACGAGTTCCTCTTCTATTTGCTGTGCGAACAGCAACGGGACCAGAAGCCGCTGGAGATGAACGAGGAACTGTTGCAGCATTGGCAGCGTACTGAGCCATCGCTGATGACGCGCGAGTTTCTGGAGGAATGGCAGGCCGAAGAGTCACTAGTGCTGCCCTACACCCAGGAGATAAGCTGGCGCACCTTCATACCACCACTGCCATCGTACAGCGACAAACCGGCTGGCTGGCTGTACTTTGTGGATGCACTGGAGCGTATGCCGCTGTCGCTGATGTTGCGTATATTTCGCGTTGAGCGGGATATTATGGACAAATTGCGGCCACAACTGCAGCATCCGGTGCGTCAGCATTATCTGCTTAGCCAGCTGAAACTGCAGCATCTCATACCACGCGTGAGTCTACAGCAGCGATATCTGGGCACGCTGCGGCTGCTGAACAACATGGGCCTGTTGCAGGTCAGCGAACGGCAGCTCGGTCGCGATACACTGCAGCGTTGGGTCTATCTGAATCGACGCACCTGCCTGTTGGACACCACCACGAGCAGCGGGCATAACTACAAACGTATTAGTCCGGAGCGTAGCTATGAGAAGATCACGTTTGAGTTTGGGAGTCGCGAACAGATTGCAGACTATTGGGCCAAGCTGCAGCATGTGTGCATCTATACCAAGCTAGGGTTTCTCAAGCACAAGGAGCGTAAAGTGGTCGGCAGAAAAGAGAATCGTGTGCCGCCCTTGAGCTTTGTGCGCACTGTTGACTTTGAGGAGGCACTGGAGCTAGATAATGGCAGTGTGCCGGGTGATCAGCAAGGCGCCGCTGGTCTTAGCTCGTCGCTCTTTGCTCATCAGTTTCGTCATTGGTCCTGGGTGAAGCGCAACTCGGTGGCCGCCACCCGGTCAACGGCATCCAATGCACGCAAGGCCACAGCACCGTTCCCTGTGCGCAAGCGTCTCAGCCTGATGCGCCTCAAGCCGGTGCCGCGTTTCAGTAAAATCCGTGGTCCCAACTCGATGGATGTGCGCAAGCGCAAGAGCGGGCCGCGAGATGATATAGATCGCGATGCATTGCGCAATATGCGCACCCTGCGCGTCACCTGGTGCCCCGCCGAGGATCGCGTGCTCAAAATGGGACGAGCTGTCTATCTGTTCATTGATGCACCGCTACCGGCACTGGCACTCTATAATGTTGGCACCATTTGCCGTGATGTAATCCGTCGCTATTTGGGCATTAATAACAAGACGACGCAGGCTTGTGTGCGCCGGCTGCAGTTCCTCATACGCATGAAACGCGATCAGCCCGATGTGCGCAATTGGATCTATATGATGCAGGCACAGCCGGAGTTCAATGCCATCTACAATGAACGCTTCCTGCCCCAGCTGAAGCTCGAGTATCCTGCACGCAGCGATCAAGTCGAGAAGCTAATTATTCACTTTGTGATTATACTTGAGAAACTGCATCGCATGATCATTAATGAGGTGAGTTATCAATTGGATGGATATCAATGTGTATGGCCATTCCTTTCAAAACTAGCCATGTCCCCACGTTACTAGAGTTATAAAGGAGTGTCACGTTGGTTATCTTATATCGAAAATCAATAATTGAACCTTTTACTCTTTTCCTAAAATCGATAAATATCGATTTTCTATTTCCCGTTTTAAGCATATTAAAGGGATTTTAAGAAACAGGTTCAACAAATTTGAAATGCGCTTCTCATACGAAAATCAAGTTTTCTCTTTATTTTTATTTATTTGACACTTATTTTGTGTTCAAGAAATCGATAAATATCGATATACGACTCGTGGCTTGAAAATTATAATATCAAGCTACATTCGAAATTACAGGTTCTCAAATACTAAATGTGGATCAAGTCTTATTTATTTGTTCTATGCTTCACACTCGGGATATTCGGGATACTCATATCCCGTCCGTGTGGCTTAAACGTATATAGAAGAATTCTCTCTTAAAGCATGCGCAGCTCAAGTAGATTGCAGTCTTTGGTTAGCTTATCCTAATATCTTATTAATTAAATGTATAGTCACAATTTTTGGTATATGTATGCACCTCACACTCTTATGTGTACATCACACTCTTATCGAATTTTTTTTTTGCTTGCAGGACTTTGTGTATCGTCAGTTT